CTGGACTCAATCTAGGCCCAACATTTTATTTTGGCCTCAGTTGCAAGTTCACCTTTGACTCGCAACCTCTATTGTTTTCCACCGACTGCAATTGTAAGCCTTCAAGAGGTTGGTTCTGGCCCGTCGTTTTTTTGTCCCAGTTGCAAGTTCACCCTCGGCTCATAACTCGACTTGAAGTTTTTCTGTCCCAGTTCCAAGTCCACCATCAACTCACAATTGGGCCCAAAGTTTTCTTTGTCCTAGTTGCAAGCCTACCATCAACTCACAACTGGGCTCAATCTAGGCCTGGCCTTTTATTTCTGCCTCAGTTGCAAGTCCACCTTCAACTAGCAACTGGGCCCGAAGTATTTTTTTTTCCGCCTAGTCAACCAGAAATATATATCTTTCTACTTGATTAAATCACTTGCTAGTTATTTTGCTCCTTTTCAATTCTAAACATAATATACATATGTATGGTTTTTGGTTCTCTCCAAGAAAAACAAAAACCTTAAAATACATATTGGACTGGATAACAAAACAATATGCAAATTTTATTTCTCCTTTGATCTGTATCACTAATTTTTTATTTTTCTATTTTGCAATCCTAAACATTTGAATTTGTTGTGGCCATAAAATGTATATTTTATTTGAGACATATTTTGAATTTGCAAATATTTTTTGAATACCTGAATTTATTTTGAATTTGCCATCATTTCTAGAATTTATGAACATTATTTCGAATTCATGAACTTTTTTTCGAATACGTGAACATTTTTCGTATATGTGAACACTTTTTGAATTCACTACTAACATGTTTTGAATTCATGATTTTTTTCTTCAAATTCATTATTGTTTTAAATCCATGGATTTTTTTTCAAATACATGAACATTTTTATGATTTTTTATTTTATATTTCCCTTCTATATTTTTATTTATTTTTAGAAATGTTTAACACATTTAAAAAAATCAGATGGTATTGGTAAAAGGTTCACCGTAAAATATTTAAAAAATTCACAGTATATGGAAAAAAGTTCAATGTATATTGAAAAAGTTCATCATATATATTATCTTGTTCAATGTATATTTGGAAAAAATGTTCAGCTATATTTAAGACATTCTTCAGTGTGCATTTGAAAAAAATTGTTCACCATATATGAAAAAATTGTTCAGTGTGTTTTTGAAAAATGTTCAACATACATTAGAACAATGTTTATAATACAGAAAAGTACAAACAGGAAAGAATCTGAAAGAAAACCATAAAAAAACCAAACCTAAAAGATAAAAAAATACAAAAAAAATCATACTACAATTTTTTTTTTGAGCATCAATCATACTACAAATGTGTAGTAGATTGAGCGAGCGTGGGAGGGGCTGGGTCTGGCCCGTTAGAATGTTCGTTAGAGTTCACAGTAAGCGTTGCATAGCAGCGTTCATAAAAGAAGACAAGGTCCGATGAATAGCAGTGTTCACAGTAAGTGCTGATGTCATATTTAGATGTGAGGTACTCCCTCTGTTCCAAATTACTTGTCGCTGGTATGGATGTATTTAGATGTATTTTATTTCTGGATACATCCATTTTCGCGACAAGTAATTTGAAACGAAGGGAGTATCATCTTACATTTAGATGAGATATAGTCAGACCCTTTTAGGAGGCGAACCCTATTTGACGCTCCCGTGCGTCCATCTGCTCCGCTTTCGCTGAAGCGCACGAGCGAGCAGTGCAAACGGGCCGGCCCATTTCGTGCGTTGAAGCAGGGCCAGGCAAACGGTTTTGGGAACCTTCTAGAGAGTTCCCTGGACCGATTTTTTTCATGTTTTTTTTTCTTTGACTGGTTTTCTGTTTTTCTTGTTTTCTTCTGTTTCTGTTTTCTATTTAATTTATTTTTTCTTTCCTTTTCTTTTATGTTTTTCGTTTTTATATTCATTCTATGTTTTAAGAAATGTTCGAAATTCCAAATTTTGTTCATGATTTCAAAACTTGTCCACAATAGTAAAAAAGGTTTTTATAAAAAAATCACAATTTTTCAGCGTATATTACAAAAATGTACAATGTATATATAAAAATTGTTCAACATATATCACAAAAATGTTCAATTTCTATTTCAATATTGTACGGCTTATATCACAAAAGTGTTCAATGTGTAGTTAAAAAATGTTCATTGTATATTTACAAAAAATATTTTATGTATATTTAACAAAATATTAAGCGTATATCACAAAAATATTCAATGTGTATTTCAAAATTGGTCAGCATGTATCCAAAAATGTTCTTTGTCTATTTAAAAATTGAATGTTGTATATTTACAAAAATGTTCAATGGTTGAATTTTTTTGTATTTTTTCTGGATCTGTCTCGGCATTGAGTTTAAATAAAATTGCGCGATCAACTAACCAGAAATGCTTAGTAGCTCAACTGGTAAAGAACGGTTACACCTGGTTGCCAGGTTTCCAGTTCGATTCCTTGGTATGGCCTCTCGCTACAACGCCATCGAATGGGCCGGCCCATTCAGTTCGCGCCTGCGCGAAAGCTCGTCCTTTTGACGCTAACTAGCGTCAGCTAGCCGTTCCCCTTTTAGGAACCATGCTCCACCACATTTATGTACATTTTGATTATTCGAACGGGCCAAATTATTAGTGGGCCCGCTCACTGAGCGATCCATGTTTACAAATCCTTGCGGAGGTATATGTTGGGCCCACTTCTCGCTGCGAACGAACTTAGACTTGCTTGCCGTCCTCTGCCTTTCACGAGACCCCTGTATGACGCCCGCGAACGTCAGGTGGTTGAGCCTTCTCTGAAGAGAACCACGAACGGGCCGGCCCAGTTGGAGCTAGCGGAATCCAGGCGTGTGAAAAAACTTCGCCAGAAAATTGTTGCACGACTCAAACTCGCGATCTCCCGCTAGCCAACAAACCTGACGTGTTCTAGTGTTAGATTTGCGGCGCCCGACTTTAAGAACCAATTTGCATTGGCTGACAAGTAAAACTACCATGTACAACGGCAGATCCATTTATTTTTTTCAAACTTTTCAACATTTTTTGGAAAAAATGAACAATTTCCTTCAAAAATTAATAACGCTTGAAAATCCTGAACAGATTTAGAGATTTGATCAAACTTTTAAAAACATCAACATTTATTGAAAGCATGAACAAAAAATTCGAAATTTCAAATGATGAACCATTTTTAAATATACATTGCACATTTTGTGATATGCGCTGAACAGTTTTTAAATACAGACTGAACATTTTTTGATATACGCTGAACAAATATTAAACACACATTGAACATTTTTGAGATATACGTTGTACGCTGAGCAATGTTTAAATATACATTGAACATTTTTGTGAATATATGTTGAACAATTTGAAAAAACCGCAACGAACATTTTCTGAAATATACGAGGAACATTTTCATATATAAATATGCAATGAACTGTGTATAATACACGGAAAAGAAACAAAAAGACGGAAAAAAGAAGAAAGAAGAAAGAGAAACAGAAAAAAAGAAACGAAAGAAACAGGAAAAAGAAGAAAAAAACATCACGACCCTTGGCGGGCCCAAATGGGGCATCGGGTCCTTTTGACGCCTGCGGGCGTGAAATAGGATCTGCCGCCTTTCACTGTCGGTGATGCTGATTCCGGTGTTCCGTTGCGGTATTGTGGACCTTGCAGTGCTGGTCTGTCTGACTGTCTCCGTCGAGCCCAGATGAGACGCAGACCAGCCTGATGCATGCACGGAAGCACCGATTTACTTGCCTCTGCAGTCTGCACCTTACAATAATTATGGACCCCACCAGCTGCATTTCCCTATTTCGTCTCAAGAACTTCCTGTTGGATGGCCAGGCAGAGGCAGGCCAGCCATTTGTTTTGATACAGCAGTAGCATGGTTACGGAGACAGTTACGTTATGGTGCCCTGTGCGCTTGTCTCCCAGGAGGCTATTGCCTGCCAGGAAATGTCTCCAAAATAGTTCCAAGATTTCCAAGAATGAAATGTCTGCTCCTACCCTTACTTTTTTGGTCAATGTAAGTCGCAGAAAAAAGGAATGTAAAAGTAGTATAGTCTGTAGCAAATATTGCGCAGCAGGTATTTGGCGGAGGCAGGGGGGTGCCAGCAGGGGCCCCGGCCAGGCCAACAAGCAGAATTTTCCACTACACAAGTGATTACGTGCTGCTAATTCTGTGTATTATCATGGTTTTCTTGGCTTTGGCCCTTCCCAACAAGACTTTACATCAAGTTGGCCCCCCTATTAAGTTTTCCTGCCTCCGCCACTGTATTTAGCCAGCTCGACAAGACCATCAAGCATTTGGGCAGCCGCTGTACGGATAAGGGCACATGGGCAGCAGATAGGGCGGTCCGTCGGGGTAGACACAGCATGTGCTACGTGGTAGACTGGTACTAGCTGACTATGGCAATCGATTTAAAAGCCTTAGATTTGCCGGAACCAGCTGTCACAACCAAATTATATGATCATGATGATGCTGGCGTGGATCTGCACATGGACAAGCGAAACCTTTTCCGCGGCCAGCAGAACGATCAAGCTCCGTCCAGGTAGCGCCCCGTGTACTTTGGAAACCAAAAAACCCGATCCATGCCGTACTATGTCCTGCACGGCCACTCACGGACCCGTTCAACCCGCGGCACAGTTCGCCCTCGCCCCTCCCGGGTTCCGGCAACGTCGCCGTCAACCGGCGGTGAAAGAGAGAGGGCGACCCGGAGCCCGACATAGACGAAGCAGAATAATCGATCACCGGCGACGCGGCACGGCGGACGCGAGCCGAGTCCACTGCCCTGCCCACCACTGCCGGCTGCCGTCCCCGCGGCGGAGAACGAGTCCGGAGTCCGGACTCCTCCGTGCCAGACACAGACCGCCCGGGAACAAAACGAGCGCACTACAAACCCTGCCCACGCGGCCGTAGAAAATCCACCCCCGTTCCCGCACAGGCCAGACCTGGCTGATTGACTTTTCGGTCCCGGCCGAGCGAGCTCACACACCCACACACGCTCCGCACCCCGTCTGCCTCACATGTGGAACCGCCCCCACCCCCTCTCACACTCCCGTCCCGGCGCCCTCTCCCCACTCCTCCGCGTCCTCCCCCGCGCCGTCGCCGGGCCGCCGCCGCCGTCCGAGCACGACCGGATCCGGGTGGCGCCGCCTCCGCGGATGGACGCCACCTCGCCGTCGGGGCGCCCCACCACGCCTCGGCGGCAGCTGCAGCTGCAGGGCCCGCGCCCGCCGCGGCTCAGCGTGCGCCCCGAGTCTCACGCCATCAAGAAGCCGTCCGGGGCGCCGCCGCAGGCCCAGGGGCAGGGCCACGCCCGGCGGGAGGAGAAGCAGCAAGGCCAGCCGCCGCGGGAGCCGGTGATCATCTACGACGCGTCGCCCAAGATCATCCACACCAAGCCCAGCGAGTTCATGGCGCTCGTGCAGCGTCTCACCGGCCCCGGCTCTGGCGCGCTCCCCTCCGAGGCCCAGACCCAGGACTACCAGATGGACGAGGCCGTGCCGGGGCAGTCCTTCCTGCCGCCGGAGCTTCTCCTCTCGCCGTCCGCCGCGATGTCCCCGGCCGCGAGGCTGGCTACCATCGAGCGGTCCGTCCGGCCGATGCCCGCGCCGACGCCGGATTACGTCGACTTCAATAACTACAGATTCGACGACGGCGGCCTCGCGGCGGTTCTCGGCGCGGGTAGGCCAGGGCCCGGCATCCTCTCCCCTTTGCCGTCGTCCCTGCCGCCAGCCGCGGCGTCCGTGCTGTTCTCGCCGCTGCCGTTCGACCCGAACGGCCTCAGCTGGCTGAACGAGCTGAGCCCCATCCTCCGAGCGGCGTCCACCGGCGCCGGCTCCTCAGGCAGCGGCAGCGGCGGCGGCGGGACTAGCAACGGCGGCGCCTACCGGCAACCACAATCCTACTACTCCGACCCCTTCGTCCCGAGCCCCCGCAACCTCCTTGCCACGCCCACCGTGCCGTCGCCGCGAACCTTCGCGGAGCTCATGAGCAACCTGCCAGATCTCTAGGCCGCCGCCTCCGTCAAAGACGGCACCAGCGGCCGAAATTTCTCTTTTTTTTTTCTTTTTTGCTTCTCCATTTTTGGGGGGTTAGGCGCAGCCCGGTGTGGTGGGGCCCCGTAGTGATGACAGGTTAATTAGCGAAAAATTATCCTCTGGGTTTTATTAATTCTTGCTGGGCAACCACTTGCCCACTAGGCAGCGAGGAAAGGGACTAGGCAGCGAGGAAAGGGGGAGGAAGGGGAGGAGAAAGCAATGCCTAAAGTCAGCAGTGGTAGCCGAGGAAATGATTGTTTGATAATGCACCATGACTTTATTCTTTTACCCTGGTGAATTACTCCACTGATGATGCGTTCTTGATTAGGTCATGCTGACTTTTGTACTATTACTCTTGACAACTGTAGAATAAAGTGGCGATCCGATGTTCATCGGGATGATAGGGGAAGAAAACTCTGTTTGGGTGTGGTACGGATATAGAAAGCACTTGCAGTGCATGCAGCGTTGTGAGGGGGAGACTTCGCTGCGTCGCTCGCACGTGCTCTGGCCAAGATTCGGCTAACAGGGGGGAGGAATGTGGAGCTGGATCTGCTTGTGGAGTGTACCACGCGCGCTCTCGTGTATCGCGATCATGCATTGCATGCCGCCCAATCGATTCCGTTGCTCAGGTTCGTGCCAACCGCCGACGTCGAGCTCCATTTGATTTGAGCATACCACACGGACCCACCCCAACTGTCCGGTCATGGTGCATGCACCAGGGAATTCTTTGGGTGTTCTCCAGTTTTGGATTAGTTCTAGGGTCTATCTATGAAATATGAATGCGCTTCTAGAGTAAACTTAACCGGTTTGTTAATTACAGTAATATAAGGGCATGTATAATAATGACATATGGATACATATGTCCCATGACAAAAAGTAATTTGAGGTATCTACATTAATTTTTTTTCCAATGCAAGCTATCACTAGTAGGCCTCATTAAAAAAATAGGAAATAAAGACTGTAGTACACATGCATCTCTACTTTTCACTCTAACCTTTTCAGCCTTTGTCACCGGACCATATTTTTTCTCTTCAAGCACCCGCCTCCTGGAGAGGATCCCGCTTCCCTATCCGAACCTACTTTACGTCATATTCGATCTACATGGCATGCGGGGCATCACCTTGAAGCTATGCATTGTACATGCCCTAATCAGCGCAGTTGAGATATATATGTAGTTGAAAACATCAGCTCCGAAAATACCCTTCAAGCATGCGATTTACTCCTACATTTGAAAAGAATGCAGTTGAGACACCATTGTCATTTGCACCATTCTTAACTGCATCATTGACTTTTTTAGGTGCATTTTCTCTACTCAAATACACACAATGTGTGTACTTTCTCCGTCTAGGTGTATAAGTTGTCTTACGAAAACAAAATATTCCAAAACACTTAGGGGTGGGACATTAATTGTCACCTCGTTTCTTGTTTCTTGACATAAATAAAGAAATCAACCAATAAAATATATGAAGCGTGTATGCTTTCAATCAGGAGCAAATCTATGTGTAAGTTGTGGGATCGGCTGACCCCACAGCTTTTTTTAAAAAACAACCTATAATCGCTGTTCATTAATATTCATTGTGAAGAAAAATTCAAAAGAAATACCATTGACCCCACGGATTATTTTGGCTAGCACCGCCGCTGATTTCAATGGCTTGAGACTATCAAACACAACATGCATGCAATACTGCTAATTAGCTAATAAATATTAAGTTCTCTAATTTTTCCCTTCGCTTTTGGTCGCGGTGCACAACTTAAGATGACTTAGGCTATTCATAGTGGGAGTAACTTAGGTAGTAACATAACGCATTCCAAGAAAATTTTGCTTACGTAGCATGTAGTTAATGAGGAGAGAGATGTTTAGGCTGGTCATAGTGGGAGTAATATAGCTAGTAACATAGATGCCACATAAGCAAAAATGATGAGGTGACAAGCAATTAATGAGGAGAGAGGCAAATAGATTAACATAATATGTTACTATCACATAGCGGTTCTCGATGCAAAATGAGTCTACAAAATAATAAATGAAGACATCTATGTTACCACATATATGACACTACCCACTACTCCCTCCTTTCTGGTTTATAAGGCTTACTCCCTCTGTCCGGTGAAGAGTGTACATCTAGCTTCAAAATTTGTCCACAAAAGAGTGTACTTCTATCTTTTCAATGCACTTCAAAGTGGGAAAAATATTTCTCTCTCATCACACGGTAATGAAGACCAATAGCAATTTACACATGGTCTTTTTAATTTCTACATGCACTTAGCTTATTGGAGGTTGGGTAATTAAAGATGAGAGAGATGGTGGCTTGCACCTTTCCAATGCATTTTATACTCAACTCCATAATTTGTTCTAAAATTTCTAGATGTACACTTTTCACCGGACAGAGGGAGTATTTCAACTTTTTTGTTTTTCCAATTTAGAGGGCTCATCTCCATCTCATTTTTAGTTTCCAATGCGCATTAAATCTTTGCATGCAAGAATTAAAGAGGAACACACCAATGCATGTAATGTTCCTACTCATCTAGTGGCCAAGCATGCATGCACTGCAATTAATCCAAATTAATGCATGAGTTTAAGGCTAGCCATAGTGGGGGTAACTTAGGTAGTAACTTAACACACCCCAAGACAATTTTGCTTGTGTGGCAAGTATTTAATGAGGAGAGGGGTCTTTGGAGTAACATAATATGTTACTGTAATATAGCGCTTCCCGAGGTAAAATGAGTCTATAAGGCAATAAATGAAACAATTTATGACACTACTACTATGATACTTTGCACTATGGAGGTAGTAACTTAGACTAGTGTCATATGCATGACACTAGTATAAGTTACTCCCCACTATGACCAGCCTAATTGGTATAGTTTTGTAAAGTACGAGATACATTCCTCCACTTACAAAATGCCTTGGTTGATGAGATTTGAGATTTGAGCCTAAGACTACCCAAAGTGGGAGTAACATAGGTAGTAACATCACACATATCTAGATAAAATAGATGATGTGGCAAGCAATAAATGAAGAAAGAGAGGCATATAGTAACATAGCTAGTTACTACTAGTATGAGTAACATCACACATATCAAGGCAAGATAAGTCTATAACATAATAAATGAAGTATTGCATGTTACCACACATATATTACTCCCCACTATAAAGGTAGTAACATAGAGTAGTAACATGGGCATGTTACTGCTCTATGTTACTACCCATTGTGGCTAGTCTTATAAACCGGAAAGGAGGGAGTATGAAGGTAGTAACATAAACTAGTAACATATGCATGTTACTAGTCTAAGTTACTCTCCACTATGACTATTACTGTAACATAGCGCTTCCCAAGAAAGGATGAGTCTACAAGCTAATAAATGAACCCATCTATGATACTACTATTATGTTACTTCACACTATGGACATAGTAACTTATACTAGTGTCATATGCATGACACTAGTATTAGTTACTCCCCACGACGACCAGCCTTATACACCTAGACGGAGGGAGTATCATATATTATATAGAGAGAAGCAGCTGCATATTTATCAACTAGCGCATTAACTGCATCAATTACTCAATTTTTGTAGGATGAAAGTGTTCACATTGGTAAAAAAACACCTATATGTATCTATGCCGGCCGGGATTCGGTTTACAGGGGGGAGGAATGTGGAGCTGGATCTGGCTTGTGGAGTGTACCACGCATGCTCTCGTGTATCGCGATCATGCATGCCGCCCAATCGATTCCGTTGCTCATGTTCGGGCCAACCGCCGATGTCCGGCTCCATTTGATTTGAGCAAACCCCACGGATCCACCCCAACTGTTCGGTCATGGTGCACACGGGAATTCTTTGGGTGTTCTCCAGTTTTGGATTAGTTCTAGGGTCTATCTAAGAAATATGAACGTGATTCTAGAGTAAACCTAACCGGCTTGTTAATTACAGTATAACTAATAGAATGTCCGTGCGTTGCTACGGACTACAATGTATATAAATGAATTAAGCAAATGAGTAAGGTCATCTTCAAAGTCAAAGCTCATTTCTCCTGATATGTCCGAGCATGTTTAGACATCAAGAGGTCACCCAATAGGCTTTTCAAAATTAAAACGTCTGGACAGTTCGGGCTTCCTAAATCCAACCCATATTTTGAAGGGAGAAAAGTGGTTGTCCGGACTACCCGTTACATTATTTCCAACGCGTTATCTCAACACAAAAACTTCACCCCACGACGCACCCTTCCTTTATCATGCCGGACCCTTCCCTTCTTGCTCCGTCTTTCGTTGTGGCGAGATATTTATAGCTAGAGCCCTCTACATTAAAATTGGATGAAGCCCATCCTCACCTTCGCCATGGTGCCCTCACTCCTTTACATTGTACTTCCCCACAGACCGTCAAGGAGTCCCCTGCCAACCATCACGCTCTCCGCCACGATCCGCCACCACCATCAAGTGGGAGAAAGTGTCCCCCCCCCCCGCGTGTGATGCCTCGAGCCAAGAAGGTATATCTGATGTCTGCTGAGCCATTGCCACGTTGGAACATACAATTGAACATATTAAATCTTGAAGCAACCAACTAATGCATTTACCATTCTATCATAACAAAAAAATGTACAACTTCATGTAAAAAAATATATGAAACACTCCCTCATGCAATTTGTTGCAAACCCATGTCTAATGAAATGCAATTTGCCATATTTTTTAAAGTAGGGACATTATTTCGCTCAGACAGCCGCAACCGAACAGATCAACCCCAACCGCCACCCCGCTCATTCTCAACCCTCACTTTTATCATAAAATCCACTACCTTGCACTCCAAGTGAGCCAGTGAACGACACTGCCATGGCAAGCCAACAACAAGGCACAAGGGCGGTAACGGTCTTCCCATCTAGTGCTAGTACCTCCAGGTTCTATACTGGACCGACCCTTCATCCGGAGCTCTACCATGACGACGCCACCCTCATGCATTACCATGAAAAAATAAAGATATGAACA